ATGGCACCTAACAACAACAACAATGTATTCAAATGCCACCAGATAGACACCCAGATATCATTACAATATAATAGTAATTTTACTGTAATAAGCAGTTACAGAACTCTAACAGCTTCATCATCATCCTTAGCTCAACACTATCAAACAATTAGGACATAGAAAACTGCAAATGATTTGGTCAATAACTTCCAAAGAATGCATGCTTTTTGTAGATAAATACATATAAAACAAGAACAAAGAATTAAAAACAATGAACATACAAGACTAGATACTTTTTCAAGGATTTCTGCTATTTAGAATGGAAAGAAATCTCGTGATCACTCAGCGCAAAATCATGGACTGCCAAATATCATGTAGTTTAGAAGGTATTTCTAAAGGAGATTATTTGATTACTAGGGGGGAAATGTTGGTAGTGTAAGACCGTTTATAAATTCATGATTACAAAAATAATAGTTCAATAGAAAGAACTTAAGTAGAAAAAAAAGGTAATTTATCTCAGTGAGTCTCTAAACAGTGTTTCTTATTCAACTTCCATAGAAAAAAAAGAAGTGAAAAATCAAAAAGCAACATTTGAAGTGGAGAAATGAAAGCAAAGTCAGTCAGTTGACTTGATTTGTACTGTTACATCTAGACAGTTTTCATATAACCATTATCCTCTGGTTCCAAGGTTTATATTGGCATTAACAAGTTACTCAATCATTCTGTGTCCCAGTATGGGATGTGAGTCCATTCTGATTATCTGAGGCATGATTCAAAACCTGAAATGACATACAATTTTAAGGGGAGTCTCTATTGATTAACATTAGGCTTGAGGAAATCATCTCTTCTCAGTTACAAAAGAACACAGTCATTTTCATGTGGTCCTGAATGTCATGCATATCCAGTTATGATAGTCTGAAAGAACTGCTTTTGTTCTTTTTAAACTGTTGATCCATGTGACTAGAAAGGTACTTAATACTTCAAAAATACTCAACAGATGTAAGTTGAATAAATGAATGAATATGACAAGATATTAATGCAATATGGAAGCACTAGGTTTAGAATTTTGTTACATATATTTCATTAATATAAGATTGGCACTTTGTATTGGTAAGGTGTACATTGAGAAATAAAGTTATCAGACCTATTACTGACCGCAGCCATCTTTATTGAACTAGATCATAATAACCATACTGAAACATAATATGCAGGAATTCATTCAAATAGAAATCATTGCTTTAAAAGAGAAAAAAATAACTAGTGTTTTTATCAGCTTTTTAATTAGAGCAGTGATTTTCAACAGGGAACAATTCTACCACCCAGGGAACATTTGCCAATATCTGGAGACATTTTTTTGGTTGTCATAATGGGAGAAAAATGTTTGCTACTGGAATTTAGTGGGTAGAGACAAGGGATACTGATAAAAATTGTAGAATACACAGAGAGTCCCCTATAAGAAGAATTATTCAACCCCAAATTTCAAAAGTACTGAGGTTGAAAAGCACTAAATTGGAGAAATATATATTATGCATGTTCTAATCAAAGGCATAAAATTTAT